CTAAATTCTTTAACAATATATACCACATAGAATATTTAATAGAAAAATTAATGCAATCAGGATATGCTATATGTATGCTAGATGCGTAAGTATTCCAATTATCAAAAAATATGATACCTCTTTTCATCAATTAGTATACCACATGTGATATAAAAAACACGTATCAAACCCAGATAAAATTGACCCACCCAAAACTATGAGAAAAAATGAGATAGTTATTGAGCAACCTATTATATCTAATATAATGAAAGCTGATCAACTGGTACTCAACAGTTTCTAAATATATGGTATAAGGCAGTCAACTCAATATAAATATAACACAATATCTATGAGGCTATACAATAAATATTTTTTCATACATAAATAGGCATGAAGTACACTGCTCTGCAGATATCCAAGTTCAAATAGATATTCACCTGATTCACATATCCCGCAATTGATTATTTTTTTTATAACCCTTTATTTCAAAGAAATGGTGAATCAGAGATTCGAGATTTTGTCTCTTTTTCGAGCCTAGAATCACTTCTTCGGACCTGCAAAGTAATGGTGCTTCAAGCCTATCTATATTCCATGTGTATCTCACAAACCATACAACCGTAATAATTAACAAAGCAAGAAAAATATATACCGATAGCGGTGATATTAAAGTGTTTGCCATAGCAGAGAGAGATAAAGCCTTGAGACTAGGTCTCATCACTCCTATTCCTCTTATTGGAAGAGGCAAAGCCTTGGGACCAGGTCCCATCTGAGAATTCAATTGAATTAAAGAGGACATGTTATTTTCTGATTGTACAAGATACAGAGTCACGTTTGATATAGGAGTTATTTCATTATCAATATTATTCGGTATAATAGTAGAGCTAGTATCAGTGGCAGGTACGTAAGTACCATTATTCTACAATAAGCCACGAGTTTCCAACTCAAGACATGTATTATCAATTTTATCATTAGCAAAGCAAGTACCAAAGGTGCTAGTATCTGTCAAGATATTATTATTAATTTTTTCAGTTTGATCTATACTTTTTCTGCATACAAAATACTTACTTAGATTTTTGCTAGATTTATTAGACATGTAAGTATCATGATTCAAAGAAGAGACAGAGTCTCAAATCTCTGATTCATCGCCTAATGGCCTGCTTTGCAATACTACAGATATATCATTAGACTTGATTATGGAACTTTATTCCTCACACAGCATATTTTTTATTATAGGAACAGGCTCCTTTAGAGTAACTCTTCAAGTCATGAGGCTCTGTCCCTCGTCATCTCTACTAATTATAGATCCTGATATATCCTCAGGTTTCAGATGCTCCAATTCACTAATTTTTAAAGCTAATTTAACTATCTTAGACTTGAGAGAGTCGATTTCAGACTCTTTCTTTGATGAGTCTTTCTGAAATAAATCTAGCTTATCTTTTAATAATTTCATCCCATTCTGAAGCGATTTAATTTCCTCTAATTTTATAGCATACTTAGTCTTGGATTCCGCAAGAGATATATCTTTGTGAGTATTTTCAATCTGTAGATATCTGGTCTCTTTAATAAGTTCCAGATCATGAGTGTGTAATTTCTGGATCTCAGTATTAGCCCCTCCTAGTTTTTTACTCCACTTCTTTCTATCCCGATCTTATTATCCTCTCTCCTAATTGATTTTTTTTTCTTGTTTTTCATACTTATCCCACAATTTAGCATTGTATGAAACTATCTCAGAAGAATCTTGGAGGACATTATATAATTTTTTTTTAAGATTTATTACATTGGTCATATTAAATAAAGAAAAATATTATGAAAAATAGCAAAATATGAAATACATATATACTTATCAATAATGCTATCAAAGAAATTACGCTCCAATATAATTCAACAATAATAGATAATTACTGATTTTTTTAAAAAATTATTGAATATTAAGTATGTAATTACCTATAATTACCGGTCATTTTTTAATATAAGAAATATAGATATATTTTAGCATTTCTAATAATTTCTAATAATTTTCAATAATTTTTTATAATTATAAAAAGGATGGAATATATAACCATAGAATATTATCATGCTGGTACTCCTTATTTATCACCAGAAGCTATTGAGAAAATCATTCAATCTTGAGAGATAGTTAAAAATGCATGCAGAGAAATGGCTAATAGATATAGTACTTCAACTCATAGAATATATGAAATTTGAAAAAGACATGCTGAAGATATATCCTTGCGTAAACAGCAACTAATACATAGTATTGTTTCTTCTGAGATAATATCTGAAAATAATACTTCAGATAGAAAGTCAAAGAAAAGAAAACTAGGATCCAGCTCTAGATCTGTTCGAGTATCTGATTTAGTCAATATTATTAGGATAGAGACTAGCTTTTCAGCTAATAAAGTTGGTATAACTGATATTCTGATAAAAAAAGTAGATGAAATGAATGACTTACAAGTTAAGCTTGCACAAAATCATAAATAAAGAGAAGAAGCTAAATGTGAGACGAAAAGGATCTTAGATTCTAACTAATCTATTTTTATTTTTTTTAAAGTAGTTTGCAATCTATTGCAGAGCAATAGCTCTTCGAGCCTACATACTATTTCAATATCAGATTTATTATAAGCCCGTAGTTTTTTATTAAGCTTGATTAATTTAGTATTGGATTCAAGTATCTCATATAGTAATTTTTCTAACTTCTCATAACTCATGCATTTTTTTTTAGTATCAAAGATACTTGCTCTGCTAACGATGAATCATTAAAATCTGGGCTAAAGTCTGCAGGAGCATGCCATTCCTCTAATGTTATATTGTCATCCTTATCACTATCTGTTTCTTGAGAAATTTAATTAGATATCAATGACTTATTATTCTGAGATGCAGTAGCGCAATTTATTTCGAGTTTATTCTTGACTTTGTGCATGTTTATTGGAATAAAATACTCTTTACTATTACATACAAACTTCAATTCTCATTTCGATGCGAGCAAATCATAATCATATTTATCTAGGAGAGTATTTGACAAAATTAGCATGAGTTTGGGATATTTGACTACCATAAAATCAGAACATATAGTACAACCTGGAATAAAGTCTACTGCTATATTTCAGGTAGTTCCAAGAGATTCTGTAGAAATAGTAGCAATACCTCTAAGATCATGTTTTTCTTTCATATCAATTACCAACTTTAATCATTTAGCTATATCTTCAAACATAATTAAAAAATTTGCACCAGGATCGACTGTAACTGCTGGAATTACTAATTGTTTAATTTTGTATTTTGTAATTACCACATCCGTAGCTGGATCTTTTTTTTGAACAAAATCAATTTCCATAGGATCATTTATAATCTCTTCTTCCTCTGACTCAGATATATCCAGAACTGATTCTTGATAATTTATAAAATCTGAATTTGTAATAGATGGAATTATATTATTTGTAGAAGTTTTAGTAAAAGTGAAGATATTGTTTTTAATCATTTCTATTATATCTGGATCATTAAATATATCTAAAATTATTTTTCAGATCTGTTTATCAATAATCATACCTGAATTCTTTTGTGAAGAATGTTGAATCAGAGATTCAAGACTCTGTCTCTTCTTTGAACCAGACTTTTTAGATAATAATTTATCCGATTTACCCTTCTGCTTTACTTGTTTTTTTTGCTTTAGAGACATGTATGTTAATACTATGATCAGACTCAGATTCAGAAGATGAATTCTCAGCATCAGACCCTGTCTCAGAATTAGATCCAGAATCACTACTAGAAGAATTATTAGTATCAGAATTGGAATCTATAGAAATCTTATTGATATTACCTTTCTTCTTGAACCCACTCTTAGATTTTCTTTTCTGAGTACACTTGCAAGAATTATATCCAGTCCTATTGCAATTTGAGCATCTGTATTGGAATGTTTTCTTAATCTTCTTCTTGACCTATCTAGATATAGCCCTATTTATCGATAACTTACTCATACAATTAGCCAGTTCTTCATCTGAGTCAACTTTGACATTTTTCCCTCTATTTTTCTTAGGTAAGAAAGAAGAAAATTTATCAACTACTCCTTTAGTAATTGTATCTATTAATAATTATAAAGTAGATAGACCTGCTAAAGCACTAAGATGATTTATTGCATCATCCATTTGGGCCCATTCTGGATCATTTAACCGTAAATTTAGATCTCTATAAATTTTACCTAGCTCCATTTGACTGGGTTGTACCAACTGTCTATTTTGCAATTGAGAAGCTGTCTGTGAAGAAACAGGTTGAGATTGTGAAGATGCCATAATACCTTTCATCAAATTTTCGATTTCTTCTTTGGTCATACTTGTATTATTTGTTATATAAGGATCTTTTGTATTAGCTGTAAATCGTGAATGAGAAGTGACTGGATGAGAATTGAGATCGTACTGCCCTAATATCAATTCAGCTTTCTGTCTTTCAATTTGTTCTAATTTTGATAATAAAGTGGAAATTGGATTTTCAAGACCAATATATCTTACTTCTAATTTATTGTCAGCGGAAAGATCTTGAAAGAATTGTTATCTAATCATTTCTTTCTGATTTAATGCTGGGAGTGCTAGATAAGTAAATACAATCATTCTTTTTAATTGTGCATAGAATTGGCCTATAGGATCAGTTTCTTGAGTAATATTATTAAATATAACTTTTGATTTTTCAACAGTAATTGTTAGATAATTTGTTCTGAACCAGTATATTACTTGTCCAATACAAATATTAGGGGCAATAGTATTACTCCCTGCATTAGCATTGGAAGCATTAGAAGCTAAATCTGTTAGTTGTCCACCAGCTATCAACTAATTTTCATTAAAAACAGTATGTGCCAGCACCAATGGTATAACAATTGCATTGTTGTTAGCTGGAACTATATTTCTTATTTGAAGAGCTCCACTTCTAAACTGATTAGTATTAATATTGCACAATGCATTATTATTAGCTAATCCATTGATAGCACCAAGATCTGCAAGGTCCGTATTGTCGCTAATATATTGCAATTACCAATTTTTATTCTTGAGATGAGTTTCATAAAAATCTTTTGCATCTTCTCTTAAATAAGTCTCAAAAAGTCCGTGAATTCTTACTCTGGTTCAAGCATTTGCTAGTGGATCAAGTCCAGATGTCTCATAATATTATTTAAAATCTCTAATCCATTCTTCAGAATCTTTTCTGACTTTTCCGTAAAATAGGGGTGGTGCGTATCCTGCTATTCCTCTATATTGATTATTTATAGATAAATTATTCTGAAGCGCAAATATTTGTTGATTTAAATTCAAAATTAATTGCTAGAAATTGCACTTCCTATTTTTCTACTTGATATGACTTGCCTTTTGATTCTTGAATTTATTGTAATATCTATCAAAGATTCGATCTCGATTATATTCTAATAATCCTTTATCAGCCCAGCATTATTGTAACTCTTGTTTTAAGCGATGAATAAATACCTTAAAAATAATTTCAAAAGCATGTCTGAGTTTAAATTACTTTTCTAATACCAAAGTAACATTATGCCACAAATACCCCTGCATATCATATTTTTATTGCAATTCTTTACCATGTCTTTGGCACCTTCAGAGTTTAAAATTAAGTGTAAATTTTTCAAGTAATAAAGTATTAATCCGCATCTGCATTCCTCTTTCAAATTGCTGAGTGATCCCCCTCCATCTACAACATTCTGTTTGCTCATTATTATAAGCTGTAGTCATTAAAGCAAGATTATTTTGAGAATTGTTATGCTCTAGTGTAAGTCGGTTAACATGATTTTGCAAGGTATCTCATGCTTGAATAAGTTAATTAGTTTAATTCTGAAGGTTAGCATTTTGTTGTCTATAGAAATTGACATCCTGCTATAACTGGACTATCTGATTATTGCTATTATCCCGTTGAGTTATAACACCATCTATATCCTGATACATATTTTGATAATTAAGATGAATAGCATTCAAAGAGCCTCTAATATCATTTATAATATTTATAGGATTATTTAATAGTATTCCAGCACCTATAAGATAATTTTCAATATGATTCAAGCCTCGGTTGATTTGTACAAAAAGATCAAGATTCGTCATATCTATATTTTTCTCTTCTGAATTATATAAACTTGGAGAGATTCTTTGAGAAGAAATATCTTTGAATCTATGCTGTAAATTTTGAACCTGCTCTTCCAATTCTTGTAATTACTTCTCTATATTATCAATATAGGATACCTTATCTCGTATATTCTTTTTAGCTTGATATAAGTTTCTTTTAAGAGATGATATCTCTGATCTCAACTCCACTTTTTCTTCCTCTGAAGCATTCTTGAGACATTCCAGTTCTTCTTTAAGAGATTGGATTTCATTCTCACATCTGATATATTTATGTTCCAGAATCTTTATAAATTTTTCATTTGACTTATTGATTGAAACTTTATTAAATAACTCATCCCTCAAAGCTTGATTTACCTGCTCCAATTCCAATTCCCAATCAGAGCTTGGCTCGCGAGATAATTGATTACGGTGTGGTTGATGAAATGCCATAGCTATTTTTTACGGTATAATATATTGATACAAAGTAAAGACATAGCCAAAATAAGTATACCTACTATATATATAGATCTATATGCTGAGGTAGCTATAGTTTGTCATGCACTCTATTATAATATTCCTGGATTTTATCCAAATGTGAAAGCTCTACAAAAGACATGTAAAAAAGAAGGGTATGGTCATTTTCAACTCAAAGATATAACAAAGTGATTAGAAAATCAGTATGATTACCAAATATATCATCATCTACCAAAGATTAAGGCTTAGGCTAGCTTTTCTAAATATCAAATTCCTAATAAATTACACCAATATGATCTATTACCTCATGTTTATGATGATTAGAAAAGGAAGAAAGTGTATTTACACACCTTGGTGCTTATAGATGTGGTGACAAGATTTAAATGTGCAGTAGCGTTGACATCAAAGAATAGTTTAGAAGTTTGGAACGTGATCGAAAAGATATATAATGATCTCAAAAATTCTCTCACATGGCCAGCATTGTTGATGGTAGATGGTGCTGGGGAGTTCAAAGGAGCATTCTCTTGAGAGATGGAATGTTATAATGTTCCTATAAGAGTTATAGATCTTTATAGTTTTGAAAGCTTAGCATTAGTAAAAAAATTCAAACAAGATTTGGCAAAACTTATATATAAAATTCAATATGTTATAGAAGGAAAACTCAAAGAAGGTGAACACTCAAAATTATGGAAAAAAATACTTTGGAAAATTACCAACTATATGAATAATAATAAAACATGATTAATCAGTATGAGCTCTGATAATGCTATGACGTTGTGAGAAGTAATTCCTAAAGTAACTATCAAACCTAAAAGACCTATTGATAAAGATGAACTGCGATTACAAAAAGAAATGACAGTAAGATATTTATTAAAACTGGGTGAGTTGGAAGGAGAACATATTCATAAGAAAACTGATCTATACTTTTTGTTGCATGTTTATTGTATTAAAAAGATTATTGTTAGAAGGAATCCATCACAGCCAGTCTTATACTATCTCAAAGATGAGCCTATTGAATCTACTACTCATTTGATAGGATGTAATCCACATTGACTATTCAAGTGAGAAGAACTCCAAGTAATAGAAAATCCTGAAGAAGTCGAATATCTATCTGATAATTTTATATGAAAATATCATCCTTCTGGATCAATACATTTTATTCGTATTTCTAGTAGTAAATTTGACAGGATCCAACAATATGCCAAGAAATGTGATGAAAGTATTTTAGCTAAAACTGGTCGAATTAATGATCAGAATGTATACCTTTGGTCATGTCAGAATGGTAAACATCAATTTGAATATCTATTTCTACTAATTGCTAAGAAATTTGAATGGTATCCTATTTGTCCTTATTTTAAAGAAGAACATAGATGCCAATATATTTTTGAGGACCTGTTGGATAAGAAATTTCCATCTTGTAAACTGTCATTTTTAAATGGGATGCAATTAGATGAATATAACAAAGAATTAAAATTGGTATTCGAATTCCATGACATCCAATATTTTCGTGTAGTTCCAAAATACTTTCACCCCAATAGCGAGACTGACCTAGGTGTACAATGGAACTGTGATCAAAAAAAGTGAGATATATGCAAAGAGTGAGGTATAGATCTCATTAAAATTCCGTACTCCACTAATTTATATGAATTTATCCAAAATATTTTAATTGAGAAAGGTTATTTACAGGATAAAAATTAAATCTCTAAGTGCTCATCTTAGATATGAATAAAGGTAAAATTCTAAATACTTATCTGGTTCGATTAATATTTTTTAGATATAATAATTAGTGACTTATCCGATCAGAATGAAAATAGAAAAGCTTGACCTTGTTGAAAGGATGGTTTTGAATATTTATAACAGTATTTTGAAGAATAAGATAGTTATTAAAAACACATCTTGCTAGTCGTAATGGCCAAATTATCTTTAGATGATGCAATAAAGATAGCCAAATCTCATGAAGGAAAATGCCTTTCCAAAGAATATATCAATTGTGAAGTCCCAATGCTTTGGAGGTGTAGTGAAAACCACCAATAGAAGTGTTCTTTTCGATCTATCAAAAATTGCTATTCATGGTATTCTTATTATACAAATAGAAAACTTAGCATTTCAGTAGCCCAAGAATTGGCACATACTAAAAACAGGAAATGTATTTCAGAAAAATATGTTAATAATAGTTTACCTCTCTTATAGGAATGTGAAAATAAATTTAAATTTCATCTCTCTCTTGCAAATATTAAAAATAAAGGAAATTAGTGTCGTGAATACATAAAACTTGAACTTAAATTTGCTCAAAATCTTGCAAATAAAAGAGGTAGAACATGTCTTTCTAGTTCCTACCATAACAAACGTACTCCACTCTCTTGGGGATGCTCTAAAGAATATTCATGACTTGCTCAGATTGATAGTATTTAAAGAGGGACTTGGTGCCCATACTGTATACGTAAAAATGCAAGACTTGATATCAAATATGCTAAAAAGCTAGCAAATAGTAAAAATGAAAAATGTTTATCCAATATATATACCAACCATACAACAACTTTACATTAGAAATACACCAAGTTACATGAATAGTATGCTTCTATTGATACTATTAAGAAAAATAACTCTTGGTATCCATATTGCGCTAATACAAATCTTGATATTTCAGTAGCTAAAGATATTACATATAGTCGAGATGGGGAATGTTTGTCAGATTCTTATATTAATTGCAAGAGTCAGTTACTCTGGAGATGCAATAAAAATTATCAATGGTATACTATGCTTTCTCATGTAAAAAATAATAATACATGGTGTTCTCACTGTTTGAAGTACAAGTAAGAAAATTTGTGTCAAGAAATTGTATCAAAATATCTTGGACCACCATCTAAGATACGTTAATCTAATTTTCTTAAAACTTCAGAACATTCAGTCGGACTACATCTTGATATTTATTATCTGTAATATAGTTTTGCAATTAAAGTACAAGAAGAGTAATATAAGCGTTACATTAAGCATTTTTATCGAACTTTAAAAGATTTTGATAATCAATTGATCCAAGATCAGCTTAAGGCAGAACTATATAAAGATAATTGGATTACCTTCAGATATATTTGGTATTTTGAAGATCCATATAAAGTAATACCAGATATTCTTTGAGAACTAGGTCTTATAGAATAAAGTAAAACTTTAAATGTTTATCTGGTTCGATTAATATTTTTTGATATAATAATTAGTATTGCTTATTTTAACCAGAATGAAAATAGAAAAGCTAGATTCTGTTGAGAGAATAGTTTTAAATATTAATAAATACAAAAACCCAAAAAGATTTAACTCATTAAATAGTACCTCTCAATAGCCTTTCAATTTATTAGTTTTGAGGTGAACAAGATCAGGAAAAACTAATGAAGTTATCAATCTTTTACTTGAAAATAAAATATATTAATTATTTAGTAGGAAAAAAGATGGAATGAGATATATTAAAAATGATGATTTGATTTTGATCAGTCATCAAATTAATGAGCCCAAGTATAAACATCTCCAAGATTATTATAAAATAATTGCAAATAGCCCCAAACAATATCATGAAGATGTTATATTCTGAGCAATGAAACCTGATAAAATGCCAAAAGTTGATGACTTTTCTCCTGAGAGAGGAACAATAGCTGTATTCGAAGATGTATGTACAGAACCTAAAAAAATATAAGATAAAATAGCATGTTATTTTACTGAGAGAAAGCATAAAAATATCAGTTCAATATATGTGACACAAAGCTTTTTTGATTGTCCTAAATTAATAAGAAAAAATCTCGATTATATTGTTCTCTTTAATGGTAGTGAGATATATGATGAACTTATTAATATTGTCTGATGATATACAAAAAAATGGCATGATGTTATCAATATACTTGATAAAAATTTGCAAGATAGGGAATTTATTATTATTGACTTGACTAGAGCAAAAGAGGATCTGCTTTATATTCGCAAAGAATGTGACTAACCTCTTGATCTTTCTAATGAGTAACATAATTTACAGTAATAATATAATAATTATTTTTTTTGTTATTTATTAATACAGCAATATAAATACATCTCACCCATCACTTTTTAATAAGATGATCATAGCCAGTCGATTTGGAATTGGGGTGGATGTTTTCAGTATCTTATTCGCTACTATTTTTAAATGAAATAGCTATCAGTATCTAGCCTGATTGAAATTGGAGTAGATGTTGAAAAAATAAATAAATTTTATAGACCCTCTGGATCATAATTCGAAGAATTACCTAATAGCCTGCTCTGTAATAGTTTATTTATATCAAGGAGAATTTTTGTGCTAGATAAAATGACTGTATATAAAAATCAAAGTAAAAAAGTATTACCAGCTCTCGGAGATAATGAAACAAATTCTAAAGTACTAGCTCTCAGGAATACTTTAGGTGGCTTATTTTAAATAGATATATATGAATAAGTTATATTCTGGCAAAGTCTTGATAGCTATTATTAAGATATTGATCAGGATTCTCTACCCATCATAACATCACATATCAAGGCCTACCACTAATTAATCTGTATCTATTCTATTGCAATAAATTTACTACATAGTCGTATATTCTATAAGTTAAAAGACTTTTCTTGGATTTTGCTCATAATTTAGGACTTTTGAAATGCCAACATAATCATTTTTCATTATAGTCAATATAACTATAATCATCAGAACAATTTACTTTTTGAGAAGTTATGCCTAAAAACTTCTTATCATTGAGATAATTATCTGTCTTTAGAGAATTCCAAGCTTGGGTTGCTAATGATTCAGGTCTCTGTTTGTAGTTTTTCCAAGCTCTTTGTATAATTCTTGCTTTTCTGAAATCAGTCTTTGATTTATTATATTCATGATCCTAATGTTTCTGCATCAGATCTTTAGGTTCGAGATAATTAATATACCTCTGTCTAGTAAAATAGAATAATTTTTTAGGATTTATATCATCGATTTTTATGAGTTTCCAGCAATCGAAGCAAATCGCCATATGACTTTTGTGAATTCTTGGTCTATAATAATTGAAATTGACAAATTTGCCTTTACCAAATGACATAAATAAATAATATTAATAATATACACTAAATTTTCCAGCGATTAATAAATCTTGTAATGAAATTCTTACTCGTATTGCCCATTGAACTGGTATTTCATTCTGTTTTATGATAGATAAAGTGTCAAATAATCTCTCATTATTGAAAATTTGATTGAGTTTATTAGCATAAGTTCCACCATAATGTGATATATATGATACAACATACTTCATATCAAAACCAGAATGATTGATATATGGTTTAGGAAGTGTTTTATCTTTTTTATCAATAATAGTAGCGATATTAAAACCAGATATATTTATTTATTGATTAGGATATTTGCTGAAAGCAGTCGCTTCGTGGCTAGATCTATCTATTTGATTTAGCCTTGCTAGTTTCACTAATAACTATATACTCTAGAATATATGATTCAATTTTAGTCCAAATACTCGAAGAGTGTCTCATTCTCAAATCATTTATTCAAGTATATCTCTGATATATATTAATGCATTTGATCATATCACAAAGTGAAGCAAATTATATCATGTTATAATGAACCTCAGGAGAGTGATGTCATGTGCAGATTGATATATGGATTTATATAATATATTTTCAAGTTTGTGATATGTAATATACACTATATATGCCTAAATATTTTGATCTCAATTCTGCGATTACCTATTTTTGGTTATAGTTATGATTGTTAGAATAAAATCAAAGATCTAATAGCAAATTATTTGAATAAAAAGTATATTATTATGCAGTTGTTTTGTTGAGATTGTGAAAATATTATTTATTTCACTTTCCTTCTGGTGGATTCTAGTCATTTTCATATCTACGATCATAAGTAGCTACACATTCACAGATGGAGTATAAAAATCCTTATATTTTCCCCATCTCTCAAAAATTGCAACTCAAAAATCAATAATATTTATGGAAATAGAAAGATCCAACCCTACCACTTCGCAAATGCAGTATGTACCAATTACTCTTGAAAAAGAAATATTTGGATCTCAATATACAGACACGCTTAATTCACTGGATGATGGTAATATCACCAAAGCTACTGGATTGACAACCCTGCAAATGCCTCCTGAAACATGCTCTTTATACAATAATTCTGTTCCATTATACAAATCCAATGGAGTCAACTTGGAACTGATTGCAAAATTAACCTGTATTCATACCTTCCATCTTAAATGCATTGTCAACTCCCTAAAGAAAAACCTAGATTGTCTCCGCTATCATCGATCTATCTATTCTGATGATGATGATGATGACGTCTTACACCTACAAGAAAAAAACTTTAAAGTGGAAAAGTTTTTTAAAGAATTATCCCTTTGGCCAATAGTATTTACTCAATTACCTGATCCAGAAAATGAGAAGATAGAGAATTCCTTAACTCCACAAATGGATTTCCCTAAAATATATGACAAAATTCTTAAAGATGAGAAGAATCTTGAAAAATAAACACGTGAGATGACCCATACAAAATATGAAATTCTTGACTCATATTACCTTCTTGGAAAAGCATTGGAGGATAAGTCAGCAGAGTTAAAGTCTAAAAATCCACTCTGTTCTATCCAGATTATGCTTAATAAGGAAATTAGATGTTAGTTTCCATCTGATACTACTCACAATATCTTTAATAAGAAAAAACGCTCAGCTCTAAATATTTACAGGATTTTTAGTAGTAAAGATATAGGTAGAGATAAGATATAACAAATTAGATCCTTCACCCCCTCATTTATTAGAAAATTTACTGATAATGAAATTAAAATTATTAAAGAAAGGAGTAAAAAGGTTCTCATATCGCATAGTGAAAAACAGATAAATGAGGATGAGGAATTAGAATATAATACAAATATGGAGATTGATTAATTATTTTTATTTTTTACATACACACATGGGATGTGAATTAGAGAATGTATACATATTTATTTAGAAGTCTGATAAATAACTAATAAATATTCGTGTAAGATTTTTTCTAACTAATGTAGTAATACATGTGATGTTAAGCTCTGAGGAATCAATCTCAGGTGATTGCTTTTGCATATAGATAGGCTTGAAAAATCAATTGCATAATACAGATATTTGATCAGATACGTAAGTGCCATTACTTCATAATACATTTATCACAGAATAAATTAGGTCATGAAAATTCTGCATGCATGATATAAGGGTGCATCCCTGATTGTTACTATGACCAAATTTCTGAATAAAATCACATGGCTGAAAAATTGATTGCATAATACAGATGTTCGATTAGCATATACCATAGAATAAAATCAAAGGTCATGAAACTTTTTATGCATGATATAATTATGTAATCTGCTGATTGTTCTAATCTGATTGATTAACTTGTGGTATATGTAATTTTTTTGTGAAAAGTTTTTTTGTTGTGCATATTTACATAATAAATACTCATGGACTTGTATCACTCCAGTTCTATATTCTCTGAATCTATCATTTCCATACCTAAATAAGACCAGAAATGAGTGAAAGGAGCATTTTAAAAGGACAGTATATTTGCATTATGGTTGTTCATTTATTTTTTTACTTGCGATATAACAAAGCTTTTATTACTTCGAACTCGACTAATCAATATATCTGCTGATTTACAAACCAAAATTCATAATTTTTTGATCAATGCCGAAGAGTGCCATATAAATATCATGTTCATTGTTCATCAAGGTTTAGAAGAAAATCTCTGGATTTCATAAAATAAGTTGAGAATGATTGTAGATCAAGTCATTGATTATCTTAGTAATTTATATCTGATGGGTCTTTACGTTAATGAAAGCTTTTTAGAATTCATTCACAGGTTAGCTATTGATTTTTTTTTACAAAATTATTTCATTATATGATGATATTATGTGGTCAGCTATTAGATTCATGTACCAAAAAGTAGCTCAATTATTCTATTAATCTGCTCCTGATAAATACTTGCTCAACAATGAAGAGATATCTAAGCTATAGACTGTTATGCAGTAATGTAATTTATCCTACTAACCTATTGATGAGAAAAATTTATCACCTGTACGGAGGATAATGGAGTTATATTATTATGTAGAAAATTAGTATCACACAGGATTTCATTAGCATAACAGCCGCACAAAAATGATAACTTTGCATATGTACTGATAATATATACATTTTTTTAATAATGAGTTTTTTTTATTACTGAAAACTAATATATATTTATTTTTTAGTTTGAAGATGCTTTTGAGAGGGTCTTCACATTGTATGATCTTGGGATTGTTAAAACAAATAAAGAAAAATCTCTTAGCTTGGACCAAATCAGAAATAATATGATTGAGCTTCAAAGAAAACTCAAAAAAAATATGACCCCCCTATATCAACATTTATATTCTGGTATAAGAGCAATGTCTATTGAGGCATTATCTTGAAAAGATCCTATGGCCAGTCAAGTTATCAGCGACAAATTGAAGTTCATAAATGAATTACTAGGAAATTTAAGAAAAGGGTTTACAGTAAAGAATTATATGTATATTTGATCACATTATCTTTGTTAATATTATTAATAACATTTATTATTTATATTAGAAACTTGTTCATAAAATGACATCCATATCTATGCCAATGGTTTAAGAAATATGTAGAGAATTTGTACTAAATTTTAAGAGACGTGAAATCAAAACAAAATCAGTCAAATTAATACATGATGGGGCTTGGAAAGAATTGAAAGAAGATATCAAATGCGTGGTCAAAGAAATTCTTAATATTTTGAAAGATATTTGGAATAACTCAGCATTTGATCCTGAACTCGCAAAGATATTAAATGAGGGGATATACCAATCAACTGTCATTATACCTATTATTCAAGCTTCATTGAAAAATCTCCCCGTTAGAGATGCTTTTTTTATTAGCACGTTGGAAAAGCAAAGTATTGCAAGTGCTAATAGAAAGGGAGAAGGTTACATGGGAAGACATCCAGATATTATGCTTGTAGTGAAATACTTAGAGATAGTTTTTGAATTCATATATGTAGAATGTTCTCGTTTAATTTCTAGTCCACAAAAAAAGACCAACGATGAGATTAAGTTATGGCAAGAAACTAATGATAGATTATATTGGATACGCCAAAGTCTTAAACTAGATAAGGATCAGTTTGGTATTGTAGGTATGCAAGTAGTAGGTAATGTATTGCACTTGAATCTTCTAGTATGAGATATGGTTAATGTTCACTGATATTACCATTTACAATCTGCTGAGATTCCTGTATAATTTTCAGATGAAGTCATTGTAACTAAATTTATAGAAACTTTGTTACTTTTACGTAATATAATAATTACTAATTTATCTTTACTATATCACGCACCTACTGCCATATCGCAAAGGCAAATGGAAGATAGTACTATAGTTTTCACTCCACGAGATGATAACTAGACTTCATTATATATATTTTTTATATCTTGTATTTATCCCAATAAAGATGGCCCTGGTGGCTGGATTATTATATACTTTGTACGATATATCTGATTAGGCATTCGCCAGTCTCTGGTTAAATTTTTCAGATAATCATTATGCATTATTTATTGGATACATGATCAAGTGTCAAGTCTATCACATGTTGGAAAATTAAATCATATGCTTGTAATATATCCCGAAATAGATTTAATATCTGAAATAGATTATATAATAATCCCAGATATAGAACGATGTATTATCAGTTACCTTATCTTGATTGGTTGATAAATTTCTGACCGTTAATAATTTTTTAATTATTTTGATTGGATGGATCACTACTCTGGAGAATAGGCTCTATTATGAAGCTTATTTTTACGATTTTTTTGGATAGAAAAGTTAATCTTTTTCTTTTTAATATAAACATGATTCTTTCGGAGATTTATCTGATCGAGATTATACCAGTCTGAATCCGTAGATTCTGAATCAGAGCTAGATAAATTAGTCTCTATCTCAGATTTGCTATGAAATATTCCATAATGTTTCTTTCATTGCTTATTATTACAAAACAATGATGATGTAGAGCATCAAATCTCCGATTCTCCTTCAAGTCTATCTTCGATATTTGAGAGAATTTTGTTAATTATATTTATAACCTCCTCTTGAGCTAGATCAGATTTAGATTCTGTTGATTTAGGGACAAAGTTTCATTGCTTTGCAATAGATAAGTTATTTTTAGTGGAGCTGACTTTATAACTCGAAGAGTCACCTATAGGTCTGCTATCTTCTTTGATTAATGGGATACTCATACCATCTATCTCGATTTTAGCATGAGGATCATGGCTTCCTTTAGAAGATAATTTAAAGTTTATTTTAACTTTATGTACTCACAACCACCCTTGACCTAATACCAGATCGAATATTAGATTCTTACGAATTTTAAAGTATATTGTATCAGTATAATCTAAACTTTGCCATTTTTCTTTATAGTAAAATTGTAAATCTAAGCAATTTATCTCACCTATTATATCTCCATAGAGACATTCTGCAGGACTACAGCTAGGATGTATTCCATGCTTCGATTTAAGTTTAATGAACAGTCTCTTGCTAATGGTATTAAACTTCGATGATGTATCAATTAATGCTTTTACTGGAATTTTTCCTTCAATAATAATATCAACTAGAGATGGGAGCCGCAACTAGCCGCAACTCTGTCACAATTTTCTGATTGGCTGCCGCAACTCTATTGCAATTCTCTGATTGGCTGCTGCAAGCCACAATTAGTTGAGAAGCCATCTTTAATATCAATGAACATGTTAAGTATATTTAATAATGTATATTACCATGAAAAAATAACCCGGTAAATAATTAACTATTCTCCACTGCTAAATAAAATTATTTATAACCCACGTTGGAGGATTCTCTCTGAGATGATTAATAATTGCAAAAATAAGATCTGTTTTATCTGATATATGACTCAAATAGTTGTCTCTAAAGGCCCTGGTTATAGCTATTCCATTTCATCGACCAGTAAAGATTGGAATAAGTAGAGATAAATCAGAAATGGAGAATTCATCATCAGAATAATCTGGAATAAGTAAAGGTAGATCAGAATCTGAGAATTCATTATCAAAATAAACTGGATGTTTAATTTTAATTTTTGAATTAAGTTTCTTTATCACTTCTTTACTAATCCCTTTACATCTCTCCAAACTATGATATTTCAAATTATTACAGTTGCAAGCTATTTCCTCAAGAGCTTTATTACTAATCAAACAATCATCAAACTCAAGATATTTAAGTTTTGGACAAGAACGCAATATTTCAGTGATATATTAATTAGTGAGACATATACATGAATTAAGACTCAGGTGTAATAGCTTTGGGCAATATCTTGCAATTTCTATAATTGGTATGTTAGAAAAACCAACACTTTGATCAAGAATAAGAGTACGTATATCTGGACATGAGCATAGAATCACACTAATAAATGTATCTTTAATTTTTAAACCCTCCAATCTGAGATATACCATTTTAAAGCAATAGGTTGACTTTATTTTTCCACACATAGCTTTTTTAAAATTTATCAATTGCCAGGTAAGAGTTCGAGGCATCTTTTGACCATGCCAACTCTTCTGATAATTATTTTCTGTAAAAAACTCAATGTGATGCCATAAAATAGGAGCACCGCAGTAGTATCAAAAGCTATTAACAAATAAAGCAGAATAGAAGAATTGATCAATTTCTAAAAAATATAGGATCTGTTCTAGTAATTCTGATAAATCAAAAATATTTTGTTGTGCCATTCTCAAGAATATATATTATATATCTTTAATTGAAAAAATATTTCATGCCTTATGATTATATAAAATCAGATATATTAATGTGTACCAGAAATACTATATGTAACTCTATTATAAACTCCGATAATTAACTTTACATTTTACTTTACGCTTTAGAATAGAGTATTTCCTTACATCTTTAGTCTTATGTATAGCTTCTATTTCCAAACTAAATGTGAAAGAATTATCTGAATTGCTATCCGAAGTAATCAAATCGGAAGCATCTGAATCAGAAGATGTAGAGATATTTAATCTGTGGGACAGTGAATCTTTTGATCTTTCAGGAAGTATTTTGTAGGGCGAGCCCATTACTATGCAATAAAAATCATGAATATCTCTTTTATTAACAGATACATTAACCCTTGGCTTCTTTTTAGCTTTGGTTATATCAACTTTCCAACTGAGATCTTTAATGCGTAAGGTGATTCTTACAAAAGTATTTTTTACATCTGTTACTATTTTCGGTAAATATATCTGGATTCTATGATTATTGTGTCTATAGAACTAATTATTATCAAGCAAAATATAATTAGGCATCTTGGGGTCATATTTTTCTACAAGCACTTTAGTTGGAATTGTGATGGATTCATAATTACTAAGGCGGTTATTGTTTATTACATTAGAAGTAAAGGTAATTGAAATTATGACTAATCCAAGTGGAGTTATGGTTTTTTCTCTGATGAATTTACTATCTTTTTCTTCAGAAGTCAACTTTCTGCTAATTTTGCCACCAATTTTCTTGAGAAGTTTATCAGTACACATAGAGATCTCCAAAAATCCTGGTTCAAGATAATAATTAACTTTCTGCTTCCCTACTTTAGCTTTAACTATCTTTACTTTTATGATAAGTTATATTATGTGATATATATATTTAACCGAAAAAAATAACTAATAATTACTAATTGCAGAAATAAAATTAGTTTTATCTGAATCTGAATCATCTAATGATGATGAATATTTTACTGTAGATATAGTAAAAGTGAAGAAGCGCAATTAATCTTAATTATAGATATAAAATTGTCTTGCTTGCTCATAAGAAACTCCTCTTTTTCTATAATTGACTACAATATAATTTTGCACAGGAGAAATATGGTTATCAGATGAATGATGTAGATATTCTCTAGCAATTATATAAGCGTAGGCCATATTCTTAGTCTCATGTACTACCACATCATAAACAGTACCTATTTTTTGTAAGTATTTGGGAATTAAATCATAATCTTTTAAGAATTTATTAAACTATTTAACTTTTGGCTTACCTGAATCACCCATTCATCCAGATGATATAGCATGCTGAATTCAAGTGAGTAGTTCTTTGACTCATTCTTGATTCTTTTTCATAGATCTAAATTTTCTAGGAATATCTGGTTGATCCTGATTTTTTGCATATCCTGCTACTCCAGCATCTGTAATATGTAAAGTTATAAGTTTAGCAGGACGAATATAAAGCATCACCATGACATTAGCAAGAGTCCAATAATTAGATAGAGTTTTTAAATCATACGTGTCTAATCTTTCTTTGACTAATTCTAATATAAATTCATCTGGATAATTGATACGTTTAGTTTCAGTCTTTTTTCGATTGACACTTTGGATTTTGTTAGTATCTTCTGTAATATCTAGAAATTTCATAGTCTCAATTATCTCAAGTGATGCATTAAGATTCCTTAATTCTCTACGAAGATAAGTGAGATGTGATGAGCCAACATTAGCATTTTTTACTGATAGGGCTAAGGTATAAGCTTTAGCTCTTACATCTCTAATACTAAGTTTATCCTGTAAAATCTATTGCACCATATCTCTAATAGTTTCTTCCTCCATTCCTTTTGAGAGTTTGTTGGAAATTACAATATTTACGTTTTTATCTGAGATAATTACATTGTGACTACTTCCATTTTTCTGGATCGAGAGGTAACGTAAATCGCTTTGCAAAGCAAATAAGGCATTCACTTAATCTTCACTAAAGCCATATCTATTCTGTAAGATTCATTTAGTTATCTCTCTGATAATCTCCTCTTCCAAATATTTTGGGGGTGAAGCTATAGCTATTTTGCAACTGCTCTCAATAACATTTATAATCTTGGCCTTACTACCTCTTTGATTAGGTATTAATATACTTACCTGATCACTGCTAAATTTAAAACTCTCTCAAAAATATCATCGATCTTGATTCTGTTTTCTATCATCAGTAAGGTTTTCAAGAAATTCTGAGGTGTATTTACTGAGTTCAGATACACTCATCTTGTTGTTGAGATTGTATTTTTTAATGATTTTAGTTACAATAGCTAACATGATCTAATATTGAGTAGGTTATGAATAATTCTTTAGGTTATTTACACTATAAAAAATATTTTTTCAAATTGAAATTAATTATCCATGGATAACTATATCCAAAATTGAATGAGTGATGATTATTATAATTCTATCAGAAAATGGATGCAAACAAGATATGGAATAGATTGAAGATTTTAGAATCTATAGTTTTACGTAATAAAATTACTAAAAATATCAATGGGATCAAAGAGGATATAATATTACTTAAAGAGGTCCTGGAAAAAATAATCAATATATACATATGCCAGATATATGATTAGACTTCGTGTATAGAATCGGAGAAGTCAGATATATAATTCTTAAACATGGTAATTTGTGCACATAACTCATCCTGCTTTTTTCTGTTATAATTCTCTTTACTTTTATATTTTCTCACGTGTTTATTGCATGCATTATATTTAGATCTATTTGGCTCACCACAATCTCTACAAGGAGTAGGTATTGGAGAATTATGATGAATATAACATCTTTTTAATTTACTATGTCGACCACAGATTTTTCCAGTTCTATGAATATATAAATAATAGTATAATATCATCGTGATTATATATAATAATTACTTCAATCAAATATATAATTTTTTTTGGTGTCCAGCTAAAATTTCTGGAATAATTAATTTTATTTTAAAGATTTATCTACCATTTAATATAATTTTAAAAATATATACTTTTTGTCAGATCAAACAATGCACATATACAAATAACATATATACAAATCAATAAAATGAGTTTGTCTAGTGAAGCAAAAAAACATCTTCATGAATTGTTATTGCAGAGTAATGGCTTTTCGAGCCTACAGCAATAGTGCTTAAATCAAAAGTTAGCCGAATATAATGAAGTAAAATGGCTTTTTATGGGTTTAATAGATCTCAATTATAAATCTGGCCATAAAGAACATACATTTTATAAATACTGGCTTGCATCTAATGGACATACCAGCTCTTCTGATAGAAATAATACTGCGCTTTTAGATGCATATCAACCTGAAAAGATTCATTCTCAATATATAATTTGGATAGCAGGAAAAAGTTATACAGTGATTGATCATCCCTCTGAAATTTATAGAATATCTGATACTCATGAATGTATTGATGGTAACAAGTCTCTTTATTTGATTATTGATATTGATGCAAGACAAAAGCCTGATCCTACAAATCCTAAAGTGCCTTCCTTAGATGATAAAAAAATTATACGAGAAGATTTGTTATCTTGAATTTTAGTCACTTGTGCAGATGTATTAAGCCTTATTTCTGATTATATATCTTTCTTAAATTCTTTTGCCTTAGCTAGTTTATCAAATGCTGAGAAATGTAGTTGGCATATTATTTATCCTTGTACCCAATTCATAGATTATAGAGAACTTAAGGGATTCATAGAAAAGGTTATAGAATTAGTTGGGGAACCTTATTCAAAATTTATTGATAATGACCTTCCCAAAACACATTTTAATCTTCGGCTTCTGGGATCAGCAAAAGAAGGTCATATAAAAAGACTGACTATTTCTTTAGTTAAAAACGGATTTAAAAATCTAGTTGATTATCTGGTTCAGCCTAAAGAGAATTATTTCATGATCTGGTCACGAACCTTTTCTTCTGAGGAGCCAGTAAAAGTGGAATTTCAACCTATTGATAACAATGATGCTTTGGTTAAAGGAGCTAATTTAGCTGTTGCAGAATATGGGTGACTTCAGATTGGAAGAATTGAGAAGGGATTCATTAACTTTCAAGCATAATCTGTTAAAGAATGCCCTATATGTGATGTTAAGCATGATAAAGATCAACTCTATAGATTTATTTGTCAAAATAGGTATTTTGTACTTAAATATTATTGTCAAAAACAATATAAGCCTGAGCATAAGGGACTGAGCTTTGGTAAGGTATCAGACAAAGTTGAGTTAAAAGAAAAGCCTAAGTGGAGATTAATTGAAAGATTATCCAATACCATATTAAATTCACATCCACTTGTCAAATTATCTGGAAAAATCATCAATGTAAAGGAAATGAAAGATGTACCAGAAGCCTACCCTGATTTCTTAAGCAAGAATCTTACTACAACTCTTATTCACTCTCCTATTGCTAGTGATAAAACAAAAATACTAAGAGAAATTCTCAATTCCTTAGCCAAAAATAGAGCAGATTTGCCTTGTTTTAACTGGGTTTCATATCATAAAACTCTTAGCAATGAGACTAAAGCTAAAGTTGAAATATTGTAAAATTCAGGACTCTGTGTATACTATTATTAAGAAAATGAGGGTGATTTAGCTATACGTGACTGGAATGTTATTATTGTCCAAGTCAAAAGTACATATCGTCTCAATTTCTATGGAAGGCATTCTTATGTAGTTATTTTAGATGAAAATAATGCTATTATATATTAAATATCTAGTGGAATTCATGCGCGTGAATCTGAAAATGCTATGTGAGATTTATTAAAATCAGCTATTCATGTTATTTCTATGAACACATTTGCAAATAAATCAACTTTAAACTTTTTGAGACAATATTGAGGTAAAGATATAAGAATTTTTGATAACGAATATAAGCCACGTAAAGGTGAAACTGTTAAAATTCTTTATGATTTAGATAAAGAATCAGAAACTATACATAGGGGTCTTAAGATGCTTCAGGAAGGTAAACGAGTTATTTTTTCAATAATCTCATGCAAAAAAGCACGAGCTTTGGCAAACCAAGCTTCCAAATTGCAAAAATCAGATGGCTCACATGTTTTATCATGAGTTTATTTTGGTCAAATAGATGGAAAGCAATGGCAGAATAACTTTGCCAATATTAATGCTACTTGGAGTGGTCTTGATTGTGTGATTTATACAAGTACTATAGAAGCTGACATCTCTTTTGAAATTTCTAATCATTTTGACGTAATTATAGGAATAAGTAATATTAATACAGGAGTGCATGCTGAAGCTTTTGCACAAATGTTTTATTAAGTTTGCAATTGCCCATATCGT